CTGGCCTCTCACTGTTGTGGCCTCTCCCGTTGTGGGGCACAGGCTGCGGATGCACAGGCTCAGCGGCCATGGCTCACGGGCCCAGCCGCTCCGCGGCATGTGGGACCTTCCCGGACTGGGGCACGAACCCACATCCCCTGCATCGGCAGGTGGACTCTCAACCACTGCGCCACCAGGGAAGCCCCGTGTGTGCCCTTTGAGTGAAGGCATTTGTTCAGCAAATGGAAAACTTGGTGTGCTATTCCAAAATAACTGCATAGCTGAAAATAAAGGGCCTTTTAAAATTTATTAACCTAGTAGTTTTCATATATTTTTAGTCTTAAACTTACATCTTTTCCTTAGGTACCCCAAATCAGAAAATTTGAAGTAAAAAGCTACAAATAAAGTGTTTTTCTTTGTTTATTCTTATCTAGTTCATTAAGTCTTCTTTAATTTCCACTGAAAAAAACTGATGTACATTTTGTTTTTAGTTCAGAGGTACAATTCTTTTTCTTTTTTTTAAATTGAAGTATAGTTGATTTACAATGTTGTGTTAGTTTCTGGTGTACAGCAAAGTGATTCAGTTATATATATTCATTTTCATATTCTTTTCCATTGTGATTTATTACAGGATATTGAATATAGTTCTGTGTGCTATACAATAGGACCTTGTTGTTTATTTTTCTAGTAATATGTTAAGAAAAACCCAAAGGAACTTCTTGGCCACCCCAATATATATAGTAGATTGTATCTGCTAATCCAAACTCCTAATTTATCCCTTCCCCACTCTCTTTCTCCTTTGGTAACCATAAATTTGTTTTCTGTGCCTGTGAGTCTGTTTGTGTTTTGTAAATAAGTTCATTTGTTCCATATATAACATACATAACACATATAACATATATATCATATGATAAGTGATATATTTTGTCTTTTTCTGTGTGACTTCACTTAGTATGATAATCTGTAGGTCCATCCATGTTGCTGCAAATGGCATGATTTCATTCTTTTTTATGGCTGAGTAGTATTCCTTAGTATAGGTATGTATCACATCTTTTTTTTTTTTTGCGGTACTCGGGCCTCTCACTGTTGTGGCCTCTCCCATTGCGGAGCACAGGCTCTGGACTCACAGGCTCAGCGGCCATGGCTCACGGGCCCAGCCGCTCCACAGCATGTGGGATCTTCCCAGACCAGGGCAGGAACCTGTGTCCCCCTGCATTGGCAGGTGGACTCTCAACCACTGCGCCACCAGGGGAGCCCTCACATCTTTTTTATTCATTCATCTGTTGATGGACCTTTAAGTTGCTTCCATGTCTTGGCTATTGTAAACAGGGCTGCAGTGAACATTGGGGTGCATTTGAATTATAGTTTTGTCTGGGTATATGCCCAGGAGTGGGATTGCTGGTTCATATGGCAACCCTATTTTTATTTTTTAAGGAACCTCCATACTGTTTTCCATAGTGGCTGCACTAACTTAGATTCCCACCAACAGTGTAGGTAGGAGGGTTCCCTTTTCTCCACACCCTCTCCAGCATATGTTACTTGTAGACTTTTTAATGATTGCCATTCTGACTGATGTGAGGTGGCATCTCGTTGTAGTTTTAATTTGCGTTTCTCTAATAGTTAGTGATGTTGAGCATCTTCTCATGTGCCTCTTGGCCATCTGTATGTCTTCTTTGGAGAAATGTCTATTTAGGTCTTCTGCCCATTGTTTGATCAGGTTGGGTTTTTTGTTATTGACTTGTATGAGCTGTTTGTATGTTTTGGAAATTAAGCCCTTGTCAGTCTCATTGTTTGCAAATATTTTCTCGAAGTCCGTAGGTTGTCTTTTTGTTTTATTTATGTTGATCAGTTCTAGTAGTTTTTGTGTGGAGTCTTTAGGGTTTTCTATATATAGTATCGTGTCATCTGCGTATAATGACAGTTTTACCTCTTCCTTTACAATTTGGATACCTTTTATTTCAAAGAGGTACAATTCTTAAGGTTCTTAACATTTATGCATTGATTGAAGGAGATTTCTTTGGTTTTACAGGAATTTTTTTCAAAGAAGTCAGATTGTTCCTTATTCATGTTTGGCTCCCATAATAAGAAGCGGCCAAATAATCTAGTAATAGGTAAATATCATTTACTTTTTAATACTTTTATAGAGTCAGTTCTGTGACTCAGATTAATTGATGGTATTGAGGATTCAGGAGTAGCCAGTTAGCACTAAACTAGTTTTTTATTTTCCTTGTGAGTGTGAATAAAATTTATTTTTACCTACCAGTCTTCAGGTAAAGAAGGGGCATGTAAATATCACCCTACCTCAAGTTATGGCAGTTTTTCAAATATAAAACATATATCCTAAATCAGTATTAGAGTTAGAAAAAAAGAAGTAGCATACTCACACACACAAATTAACCCTTCCCTAATAAATACCTGTATGATGAATACATTTGAAAATAAACCCTTGCCCTGTATTGTGTATTGAGGCTTGGGCTGACATGCTCACTGGCTTAGGTAAAGGCCTTTACCCTCTGTGGGCCTTTATTTACTCTTTTGTAAAGTAAGGGAGTTTGGCTAAGTGATCTTTTAAGATCCTTTCCAGGTCCAAAGTTGCAACAGTACATTCTAGGTAGAGCTGAAAATTTAAGAAAGAAGAGACATGTTTGGGAGGTTTAAGGAGAAAGAAAAGAGGCAGATATTAGGACATTTTGAACACGCAGATAAGTAGGTGAATATAAGGCAGCTGTTTGGGAAAAAATAAATGGTTAAAAGAAAATGTATTTTCCTTCTAGGTCGTATGTATGACTACCACGTGCTGGATATGATAGAAGTAGGTATCGAGAAGTTTGTCTCCCTTAAAGATATTAAGGTAAGATACTGATCATAAAAATAAGAATTTTATAACGTTGCTCTTGGGCAATAGTGACATCTTGTGGTGAAGAGTAAAGATACAGTTTTGTAACTTAAATAACAAAGAACTTTGGTTTTATTCTAGTGTGCTCTAAACTAAAAAGTACAATTTCATTTTACCTTTAAAAAGAGGGAGATGTTTACAGCGTATAACACATATGTAGGCAGTTAGACTTAAAGCCGTTACAAACTCTTGTCTAGGCCCATAGTTGAGATGCTCTCCTCAACCTCTGAATTACACAGCACCCATTAACCTCAGAAATACCACAATTTTCTTTCCTTCCTTTCTTTCTTTCTTTCTTTCTTTCTTTCTTTCTTTCTTTCTTTCTTTCTTTCTTTCTTTCTTTTTCTTTCTTCCTTCCTTCCTTCCTTCCTTCCTTCCTTCCTTCCTTTCTTCTTTCTTTCTTTCTCTTTCTTTCTTTCCTCCTTCCTTCCATAATCTCAGAAATACCACAATTTTCTTTTTCTTTCTTTCTTTCTTTCTTTCTTTCTTTCTTTCCCTTCCTTCCTTCCTTCTTTCCCTTCCTTCCTTCCTTCTTTCCCTTCCTTCCTTCCTTCCTTCCTTCCTTCCTTCCTTCCTTCCTTCCTTCCCTCCTTCCCTCCCTCCCTCCTTCCCTCCCTCCTTCCCTCCCTCCCTCCTTCCCTCC